ATGTTGCAACCTTCTTCAGAAACAAGTTCGATGTGTTCCGTTTCGAAACTGTTTTTGAAGAAGTTTTTTTTTCACTTAAGAAAAAAAAATTCAGTGGATGATCATTTTGCTACGTAGATATGCTAAAATAGCCAATCCAATAATTCCATATTATTATTATTCCATATTTCAACTAATCTCGAAATTCTAAACAAAATTCATGTAAGTAGTATATCAGGGGTGGTCACGTTCTTTGATAGTCCAAGCCATTTTTCATATTGCAACTTTTCGCGAGCCGCAATTAAATTCGTATATTTTAAAAATGTATGCAAAAAAGGTAATTTTTTTACAGAAATTATATTAATACATTTGTCGAGAGCCACAAATAATCGTTCAAAGAGCCGCATGTGCGCTTCATTAGTTAGCGCCGGCACTAGTGTAAAGATGAAAAACTTTCAAAGGTTACTTGATGAATTATGAACGACTAAAATATTTTTGTGTAGTTTATTCAATCTCGAAAATGGTTAAGTTTAGGTTCATGATATGCTACATGAATTTTGTTTAGAATTTCGAGATGAATCGAAAGATGGAATAATATGCAGAATGTTCCATTAAAGAAAACGTAACTTTGCTTCGTCATCACTTTTTGACTTACCCGGTATACTCCATTTGTCTTTATTGTAATAGATTTGAAATGACCTGAATAAGCCGTTAGAATAACATTGAAAAACTTACGGAAAATTTAATAAAAAGTTTCGATGTAACGTCACACACACAATCCGATGAGTAAAAATAAAATAATTCTCTTAAAATTGATGAAAGAATTAACAACTTCTCGATGTTACAACGCATATTTTCGGGTGAATACTGATACCCCCCTGTTTCTTTGGTATTCGACGCACAACGCTTTAAAACGTCTTTGTTTACCATTTACCTGCGTACCCTTACCTCATTCTAGAAAAAATCTTACAACAGAGTTCAAACCGACAGTATAACGTCTTAGAGTAAAGTGAATTAATTAATGATTTATAAATTTACGCCCTTTTATACTATTTACTTATCTACTATGGTTATTAAGAAATTTTGATGGAATCTTCCCATTGTTCTTAGTTTTATTTTTTTTTTACTTTTAATAAAAGATAACCTAACTTTTATTCTAAAAGATACATTTTAGTACAAAACAACATTAAAGAAAGATTTCATTTCGAAAACCTTCACTCTGATATTGTCTTCTTTTGAAATAAATAAAATATTATTGTTTTTAAACATATTTTGTAACATTGAACAGAAACGAAAATCTAATATTACTATAAACTAAATTTAAAAAAAAACAAGATTTTGTTACGTTTTTGAATCTAATCACCTTAATTTCTACTAAATAATTTTAATTATTTAGTATTAATATTCTTTTATTGTTTGGTAGCTTCAAGATTCCTACTCCTTTTACTTTCCCTATTCCCCACGAGAGGTCGCGGGTGATCGATTTAACTTTTGATATATTTTGGGACGAGATTTGGAAACTCGCTGTCTTTAATTTCGTTCGTCCTAGTGAAAACATTGGGGGTAATTTTGTTAAAGTTTACGACATTTTGGGAGTTCTTAAAGTTTTTGGGTCGGTTGTTGAACGTGATGTTCTCTTACTTATTAAATAAAAACCATATTAATTTTCCTACTTATTGTATTATTTAATGTACACCTTTTTTAGCAGTATCTTATCTCTAACCCTTCTAACCATTATATCCAACCCCAAAAACTCAAAAGTCTCTAAGTCCCCAGAAATTGAATACGTTCCAGTACGGGGTACGGGTACTTTAATGGCCAATATACTATACATATAATACGACACTAAAGAATAGTTAAAATTTAAATACGAATAATAATAAAATACAAACTATTGAATTAATTGAAAAGAAAAACTTAATACCCTTTAATACATTTTTAACATACCACCCGCCTTGCAGATATCGGTAATACAGACAGCTGTAGAATGCGTGGTCAAAACAAAACAAAAAAAAATGAACTATTTTACATCGAACAAATGGAAGGTTTATATCAAAACCAAAAATTTGCAACAAAAACTAGCCAACATCTATTTAGCTGGTGGAAGATGTTCGTCTTTGACGACAACTAAGCATCCAACTGTAAGTTAAACCATTTTGTTTTATTTAGAAAGAACAGGAGATAAAATTTTTGAATTTATATCAGAATTCGTTGATGATTCTTCTTAGAAGTTGGAATCGCTTGAGCTGGCTTAACTTTTCATCTAATAAGGAAGGCTCCGGAACAATGGAAAGAGATGATCCAATCAGAAAATGTTCTGGAAAAGAACGTCATAGTTGGGTCATCTGAAACAGTACAAAGGGATCGAGAGTTTAAAATAGCCCCAATTTGAATGAGAACCATAGTAAACTCCTCGTAAGTGAGCAAACAACATCCTATGATTTTCCTTAAATGAGTTTTTAGGAATGGGGCACCAGTCTCCCATTTCTCTCTAAAGTGTGGTGATGCTGGAGTGTTTAATTTCCAATGTGTTCCATTGTTGCTCAATAAGTCAACCATTCCTCTCCACTCCTTACAACTCTTCTAGCTTATAAGCATCGGATGTGGCTATTTATACATACTGTATGTATACACAATTGGCTATTTATACATACTGTATGTATATGGATTTGACTATTTATACATACTGTATGTATACGGATTTGGCTATTTATACATACTGTATGTGACTTATATGTACATACTATATGTAATTAGGTACAATTTTTTTTTTTATTATCAGGAATTCACCAAGCAATTTCATCATATCATTATAGAAAGAATAATCGAAGAGGCCACAATACATGATATCTTGACGTTGGAGAACATACTAACAAAGAAGGATAAGAAATTGAATAATCTAAAAGAAAGTAAACTCAAGAACCAAAAATTGAAAGATATGGACAGTAACCAAGAAATAATTCACAAATTCTACCCAAGAATAACTAATCTTTCAAATGTAAACTTCACCCAAAAAGTGTATTTGGTTCTTAATGAGAACCTTATCTCTAGTAATGACACCTGAAATTTTTTCAAACAATTGAGATATTATTCTGTGGAAATTTCTCCTGAACTGTTCAATCCAAATGGCATTCTTAAAAATCGGTAGCTTCCGAATGGTGTTAGGAATGTGCACAACTTTGAACTTTCAGTATCCAGTGGTACCATCCAATAACCGGAATTGGCGTCTAGTTTGGTGAAATATTTTGATCCATGCAATTTTGCTGCCATTTCTTCTAATGTTGGAAGTGGATAATGACTCCTCTTTATTGCTCTATTAAGCTGTTGTGGGTCAAGACATATTCTAAAATTCCCGTTATCCTTTTTTACTATTACTATGTTGCTAACCCAATAATTTTCAATTTCTGCTTTAACATCTATCTAATACTAGTTTAACTTTTGTCTCTATACAGCCTATCTTATTGTCTAATAAATCAGCATATTCTTCAAAACTTTTATTTAACTGATTAACTTTTCTTAAAATGTCTAATTTTATGCATGTGTTTAAACCCAATACATTGTTATATGTTTTCTGTGTGATATAGAATTTTATTTTATAACTATTCTCTTTTAACAAACACTTTATTTTAACGTAACCTGCCATTGAAATTTGTTCCTTAGTATACGTACTGATATGATCATTAGTTTTTATAGCATTTTTATTTAACTCTAATTTTACATAATTATCTAACGACATTAAGTTGCAATCCGCCCCTGAGTCTATTTTAAAATTTAAAAATTTACCGTTAATTATTAACTTTAAACCAAACCAAGAATTCACACTGTTAACGTTTTTCACCACACTCTGAATAGTGTGGTCTGAGTTGGAACTTTGATCACTAAGGTACTTATCTTTTTCTATTTCTCTTACTCCTTTCAATCCACGTTTACCGCTCGTCCTGAGGCCTTTCTTCTGATCGTTGGTCGCCGTCTCTGTTCCTTGGTGGCGCCGTGTTGTCTCCGCCTTTTCTCGATCGCTGCCGCTTGTTGCTCTGCATGCCCTTGAAAAATGATTTGCGCCATTGCACTTGTAACACTGCTTCCCATATGCCCGACATTTCTTATATTCATGTTCGGTTAAACACTTTTTACACCTCCAACCTCGACTAGTATTTTCATTCTTTTTTACCACTTCGATTTCATGCCTCGCATCCAACGCCTCGGCTTGCTTTCTGGAAATTTCCCTGACTTGCGCCATCTCTAAAGCCTTCTCAATAGTTAAATCTTGGGTGCTCAACTCAACATATATTCTAAACTATAAGTAAATAATAGTTAATTTGATGTAATAAAAACATAGTTTCTTTTATTCACAGGTATATAATGTAAATTTTATTCGTTTTCGCCGCATTTTTTACAAATAGGTTTTTGGTTTNCTTGAAAAGTGATTTGCGCCATTGCATTTGTAACACTGCTTCCCATATGCCCGACATTTCTTGTATTCATGTTCGGTTAAACACTTTTTACACCTCCATCCTCGACTAGTATTTTCATTGTTCTTTACCACTTCGATTTCATGTCTCGCATCCAACGCCTCGGCTTGCTTTCTGGAAATTTCCCTGACTTGCGCCATCTCTAAAGCCTTCTCAATAGTTAAATTTTGGGTGCTCAACTCAACAATACATTACAACAACACTGATCACAATGCAACATCCGTCTGTGATGAGCATTGATAACCAGCTTAGTAAAATGGGAATCTCTTGAAAAAATCATTGTGTGTTTTTCATCTCAATCGAGAGAGGCAGAGTGAAAATGTCTGGTGATTCTTAACACTATTTCTACCGACACTTCACGAATACCTGTTCCTACCGCGATCAGTCAAATGACCGGCCTTTAACACAACCAATATATTCTAAACTATAAGTAAATAATAGTTAATTTGATGTAATAAAAACATAGTTTCTTTTATTCACAGGTATATAATGTAAATTTTATTCGTTTTCGCCGCATTTTTTACAAATAGGTTTTTGGTTTGTNTGATGTAATAAAAACATAGTTTCTTTTATTCACAGGTATATAATGTAAATTTTATTCGTTTTCGCCGCATTTTTTACAAATAGGTTTCTGGCTTGTACATTTTCCACATACATATTTTTTTCACTTTAGACATATTCTGTTAGTCTTATTGTTTTTACAATATCTTATTTGACATGTTTTCCGTTTACATGAACCTGTAATTGTATTTGTGACGGGTGTTGGTTAATCTTCTTTGCTGAGCTGTAGCTTTTTTTGATATTCGCTGGCAAGTTCTTCTGCTAGTTGAAATAAAAAATCTTGCCTCGAAATTTTTTCTCCCGTGGTTTCTTTATATAAAACCCATGCATTTATCCCAGCCAAATCTAAAATACTGAAAAATACCTGTAAAGGCCATCTCCGACTTTTAGATTTTACTGTGTAATTCCTAGCCATTTGATCGGTCACATCTACACCAAACTTGGTGCTATTGTAGAACCTAATTTTTTCTGGTATACGGGCATCCTCTTCAATATGTACGGAATTATGCATTTTGGTAAGAATCGGTACCGTTTTATATGGTTTAGCTTTGTAAGTTGTTAAAATACAATTATTTGATCCATATAATTTTGTTGAATAACATGTAATGTTGTCACTTTTCAGTTTCGCCAATTTTGGTAGCTCCCTTCTATTTCCTCTAATCGTAATTTTCTTCCCTAACAGTTTTGTCGCTAGAAACATGCTTGTGAAAAAATTATCACTGGTTATATTTCCACATTCTCTATATGGTCCTATTAATTTCAGAGAGACAATCTGTCTGCTATTTACATTAGATGCTAACTAGAACTTGATACCAAATTTGTCTGGTTTATTAGGCATGTACTGGGTAATTCTAAATCTACATCTACATCTAGTAAGGAATCTGAAATTAAGTAAAAAACAAGAAATAAAATGATTTCATTTTAAAATAGTTAAATTTATTCAATAAAAAATTTGGGTATGATATATTTTAAAACAAAAATTCAATGCACAATCCTACTTTACAATCTGGACAGTACCTAATCTCTTTTCTCTTCTATTGGAGACGGTGTTGCTGATAGACGTTCGGGTTTTTCTTCAACTTTTCCATATTTTTTTGATAATTTTTTGAACAATATCTAATCGAGATTTTTGACCTGCCTGTTTTGAATATACTATAACAAAATAATTCCAAATTGTCTGATCAAAAAGGTGTTGAAACATTTTATAATAATATTTCTTTCCGCGCTTTTTGATAATAGGATAATTTGTTAGATGTTGATCAAGTTTGACAACACTGCCCATAGAATTGTTGTAATCATTGATAAATTTTGGAATGTTTTTAGAATCTTGCCTTCTTTCATTCTAACTTCATCATCAACTTCTATCATTTCTGTATTGTGAATTGTCGATAACAAGCCAACGTCCTTTTTATCTTTCCATTTCATTACACAGACTTTTCCTCTCTGGTATGCCATTATTTCTCTTTTTATCAACAAACGTTTTCTTTTGCAGATCTTTCGGCACATCTTTTCTGTTCAATTTCATAGTACCAAATATATCGGTTTTGTATATGTCCGCAAGTGTCGGGGAAGTATAAAAATTGTCTTTGGTCCTAATTTGTGTTCGCATTCCCTGCTCTTTATAATTATTGTCAATTAACCCGATTTCCACCCATCCGGGAATCCAACTCAATCTACCCTTATAGAACATAAGACTCGTCTATTGTTACATCTATTTCGAGTGTAATCGCAGAAGAACATTTTTTATTTAGATGTTGAAGAACAGGTCATAATTTATTTAGTTTCGGATGTGGGTGCGTTTTTGCATTATATCGCAAATTGTCTGTAAAAGGTTACAACTCTTCAATAAATTAAACCGCCTACCGGACATAACTTTTGCGAAAAATGGTGTTTCAATCAAATCCTTGTTGTAAGAAGGTGAAATCAAAATAGCGTAAAATTGATTCCTCAGCATCATCGTCAAATTGGAAATTTACACCAGCTGTGTCGCTAAAAGGAAACCTTGTTGATCAAGGTGGTGGATTTCCTACATTTATGGGAAGAAATTCTGTCAGTTCAATGAAATTTTCGATCTCTGAATCAGAATTATAGGACCATGGCACTGAAAAATCACTTTCACGCTTATCAAAATTTCTTCATCACTCTCTAACATTATTGAGTAAACAAAAGCTAGGATAAAAACAGTTATAATAAGAAGTTTTACCCTAAAATGAGTATTACCTATTTTACTTTTATCTCAAATGTAGTCGTAAGTCATCTGTAATAACGTAACGTGCCATAAAAACTACTTCGTATAATGAAATTTATGTGAAAATTATACACTTAAACGCGAAAACAAAGGAGTCATTTTTTGCACATATATTATAGGAATAGATTTCACGCTAGTATAAGCGCAGAAAATTTATCGTTACTACGTGAAGTTGCACAAAAAATTTACATCAAAACCAAAAAAATTTAAAACCAAAGATAAATTCTTTTTTATTATTGTATATTTCAAAAATACAAGACTAAATATCGCTACGTGAATCTATATCAGTTCTGAAATTAACCGTACCGTTTTGAATAACAATATGAAACATTTCCAAAAACAAACGATTATGGTAATTGTCTTCTTTATCTGAGATTTTTGTATCAGCAAAATTAACGATGTGACCAGTGTCCAAACTATGGTGTGCCAACGCACAACCTTTTTTGTAAATTTTTATATCACTCTTATGTTGGCTTAAACGTTTTTTTAATCACTGACGTGTTTGAGGTTTTGAAAGCGGCAGAAAATATATAAGAAATTCGTTTTAAGATATGTGACTCCTTCTGGTTACTTTTTTTTTTGGAAGAAAATGTATGGAAGTGATTTATAACTTTAAAGGATTACTTTTGCGTGAGACTGTACATACACATGTTGGGATAGAACAACGCCGATTCATGTTCACGTAAACCATGTGTTAACTGTATCATACTTAAAATATTAAATTATCTTTGTAATTAAATACTGCTTTTAACAAATATATACAAAATTAAAACAAATTGTATTTAAAAATGCAAAATAATGTAAATCATGCCATCTATTAATGGGAAACCAAACTATGCTAGCCACCAGATATCGTTTCAGTGACGCATGAACAATTTCGTTGACCTTGCATTCTGCACGTTCTCGCATTAATGCATTAAGCGTACGTGGTGCTCTTGGTGCTTACTCATTACATTCCACCCATTCCACGAAGAGCTGGCTTCGAAGAAGCTTCTGTTGTGGTGTTAAGAATTTGTTTTCAAAAATAACGTAGAAATGTCCAAATATAGCTTATGGAATGTCTCTTGTAACATTTACGTCAAAACTTCCATCAATTGTCATCGAATAAATATAAGAAAGAGGCAGATTTTCAATTCTGCATTTCGAAGGTGATTAAGAACAAGACGTCTGCTTGGATGAGGTAAGAATTTTTATAAAAAATTTTTAAAATTGAATATAAACTTATATACTTATAACTTATATACCGGGTGTCCTATCGGTTGTGATATAGGCTTTCTTGACTTCTAAATTTCAAGGTACAAACTTCATTCGATGTGTATTAAGCCACACTACTTGACTAGGTTGTGATTGGTTGTGATCATGTCAAATAAATTGTTTATTGTATGGTTTGCGAATAATTTGCAAAAATGTTAAAAATGACGAAATTTATACGTTAGTTCTCATTATCTTATCATAACCCCATACCAAGGTTATTTGCGTTTCAGTAAAATCTTTAAAGAATGTTTTGCAAAACAATTCCAAAGTTGTTTACGTAAGTTGGGGTTATCTTATCAACCACATAAAAAGCTTATTTGCGTTTTTGAATAACGATTTTTTAAGGCATTGGAATACTAACATAAGAAAAGATGAGTTTTAAACCTCATTCTTTAATGGTAATTTTTTCATGTCTCTAGCTTTTTCTGTAAAAAAGTAGTTTTCGCGTAAAAAATGTAAATTTTTGACTCAACTTTGAACGCTCATAGCTCGAAAACAAAAGAGTTTTTGAGAGACTCTATGTTTATATAAAAAATTTGTGTTATTTTGGCAAGTACTATATCCTAGTAAAGTTTCCCAATTAAAAACTAACCCACCCTGTATATGTACATACACTAAGCAGCATATAAGTAATGCGCTTTTTGCTTACGTTAGTGCGCGTTATCTTGCCATAACCAGCTACCAAGGTTATCAGCCTTTCTGTAAAACAATTAAAGAATGTTATGCAAAAAAATACTAAAGTTGTTTATGTAAGTTGGAGTTATCGTATCAACCACAAAAGAATGGTTTTAAAGAATGTATGTGACGATTATAACTATTTATAACTGCGTATTTCGAAGTATAGTTATGTAAAAACCAAGTAAAATTAAACTTTGAATACAATGGTTCAATTCAATGCATTTTCATTATAGGATTTAGCCTGTCATAATAGTATATTAAAAAACAAGTTTCGTAAGACACATTTGAAAAGCACGAATTCAAGTTGAAAAACGAGTGGCGAAGCCACGAGTTTTTTAATGAATGAGTGCTTTAAGTCTTATGAAACGTGTTTTTTATGCTATTTTTTGTAATTCGCGTTTTTATCCTTTTTTTTAACTGAATCTGAAAAAACATTCTTNATCTGGTTAAAGGCTTCACAAATAGGCTAATATTATTCTTTATAACTTTGGTTGGAACACCGTATATGTCTCTAGTCCCACTAGACTTCAAACCCTGAAGGATACCCCTAACCTCACACTCCGACACTTGTGTAAAGGAAAAAATGGGGACATCGATAAAGCTAGCAGGGCATATGCTTGAAGAAGGGTTAGCCAATGGACCAAGCTGAGACACAATGTTATTGGCCTCGTTAACAAAGAAATCATTAAGAATATCCGGGTCAAGATTCACTGAATTTTGTTTATTGGCGTTTGGCCTGTTATTGTTTATAACCGCCCAAGAAGCTCTAGATTTATTATTCGACCCATTAATAAAATTATTCGTGGCTTTACGCTTTGCCTCAGCTATTTTGTTACGGTATAACAATCTGGCTTTGTCTCTAGAATCTCTTAGACTTTCCGTTTTGAAACGGTTATAAAGATTAGAAGCCAAGTCACAGATATCTCTCAGCTGGCGCAGTGTGTTATCAAACCATTTGATTCCTCCATCACGGACTCTAACCTGCCTTCCAACCTCAGGATAAGCTGTATAAAATGTTGATAAGAACCGTTCAAAAAAGTAACTGAATTTTGCATTAACATCAAATTCACTATCAGAAAAAATCTCCCAGGAGTATTTCTGAAAGAGTTCAAAAAATCTTATGTTGCCCTCAACACTAATTGGCCTACCAATCCCAGTAGTGTACCTCACAGGAAATGTTGACAAAATTTCAGCCGAAATAAATTGGCCATGGTGATCTGAAATATTATTCATGATAACCCCGGACCTGAAAACGTCCCGCTCTAATTTAACAAAAACATTGTCAATACAATTATTTCCCCGTGTAGGCTGTGAGATTGTGGGAGAGAACCCAAAGGTGGAAAATATATTACAAAGTTCAGTAGCGTTAGTATCACGGGTTCCAAATTTAACGTTAAAATCACCTAGGACTATGATATTTCTGCAGTCGGCCAAACTAACCAGAACACGCTCAATAATATTCTTAAAGTTTACAAAACTACCGGATGGGGATCTATAAACACAAACAATAATTGCCAGGGTAGCCTCACACCGCAGAGCTGCCAACTCACAATCAACTTCAACAGACAACTTGTTAATATTCTCCAATACATTGCATTTTCGACCAATTTTAGAAAAAATTGCCACTCCACCGTGGATATGGACAGTTCTAACAAAAAACGAATGAGCAATCCACTTTCCAATCTGTCTCGCACCTAAAGGTGCACAGTCTCGGCGGTAAAGCAACCAGTAGTTGACAATTACTAGATCAATAAAATAATCTAATATTCTTGATCATATTCTTGATCTAATATGGATAAGGTAGTATGATATTAGAGCATCTAGTAAGTTCACACCTCCCATAAATTTATTATAAGTTGTCACCATTTGTGGACATTTTACTACAATAGAAACCTTTGAATTTCCGTCCCATCGTTTCACATTGGTTAGTGGATAAGCATTAGATAATGTGCTTACTACAAGAACAGATCTGTTATCGATCTATTTTACAGCCCATATACAAATATTGTCAAGAGTTATTTCTTATGCCTCTAAAGTTCCTTTGCCTTTCTTCTTCATAACATTATCTTGAGCAAAAGCTAGTCCAGGGAATGTATTGATACGAATTGTGCCCAAAACTGGGAACCCATTTTTGGCCAGTTCAACGAATACTTTTTGAGATGAAAACCAATTGGCACAAAATATTACGTGATTTATACATCTTTTTTTAGATTTGAAAAACAATATTCGCGCTTGCACCTAAGTCTGGATAACCTTCTGCTTTATTTCTTTTCCCAGTATACAGGGTGAACCGGGTGAAAGGCCGACCTATGCCTGTTCTGGGAAAAATAAGAAAAAAGTCTATGTCTCTTAATTAAGGGTAATAGACACATTTTTGAAAATGTTAAAACTCGTTCCCAATTTCGCAATTTAAGAGTGATTTTTTTAATAATGTATTCCTTGTGAACCATGCTGCTATAGAAGTCACAAATCAAATAACAAAAGTCGTTTTAGTTTTGCAAAAACAAAATTAGTTTGATTTGGTTAAGGTTAAAAGAATTTATGTCTAGTAAGCTTGACACATGATTTTTAAAAAAAGGAGTAGTTCAACACCCTTGGCAAGTTATTTTAAAAGATGGCCTGTTTAGTCAAGTTTCTAAAATGGTACAACACTTGCCATTTTTCTTTTCATAAAAAATATTATTGCCCGTTTTTCTGCAAAAAAACGCGTTATTTAAAAAATTCATAATGCTACAACATTTTAACATTAATATTTTCTTGAGAATTGAAGACTGCTTAGCATAAAATTTTCGTAACGGCATCCGTATTTAATTCATTATTAAATAAAGAAAGAATCACAAGAAGAAAATTTAAATAAATTTGACTAAAATCATGAAATATACAATCAGTCAATTAATTTCTCCTGAAGAATGCATAAATTTTCTAAGCGGTTGGGGATTGGTTATATGGACAATAAAGTGATGTTCAATTCTGTTTTGCAACTGCTGACGTAAATTTACCTATGCATAGATTTTTCCTTAAGATACGACCAAACTGTGATCTAAAGGATTGAAATCGCATGACTCTAGCAATCTATCGATTCGGAAAATGGTTACTCAACTAATTACGACACCTTCTATTAAAGTACGGGAAGCTCCATTATGCATAGCAAAGCATGGTTTGGGCTGGTTTAGTGTTTAATCTTCTAATATCTAGAATACATGATTTTCTAAAAAATCGAGGCACCATTACCATTTAAATTTTCACTTAGAATGTGATATCTAATAAATTTATTACTTAAAGTTCCTGCCCAAACATTAACTTTAAGCGAGTGTTGGTAATGTGATAACCGTTTATTATCATTACATCAGTAACGCGTATTACGGTAGTTGAACATTCTTTATCACGTAAAGGTGGCCTCGTCGGTAAAAAGACAATAAAAAAAAATGCGATTCTACTGTCCTTGGCATAAAAATTAAATAATGTTATTCCAAACAAACAGCCTCTTTAAGCTGTTTCTAGGAATTTTCGAAACATTTTTGTGTTGAACTTATAAATACATTTCGTAATTTTATTGTTATTAATATTATTATTTGCTCTTCTACAAATTATGTAAAAATTTCGTACACGCAAAAACGGCAAACACATCTTTTAATCTTTTTAATAAGAAGATTTTATTAATAATATGCGTTTTATTGTCTATAATCTACAATGTTCTACAATACATGTTCAGTCCACTCTCTATTTATAAAGGCATCTCTGGGGGCGTGACGTCACCTGACTAGTTATAACCGGTTTGAACTTAGGGATGGCAATTTTTATTTATATATCGATATATCGATTCATATGATATATCGAGAACTATGTATCTATACATTCGATGTATTGAAAAAAATATATCATATAAATATGATATAAGAGTATTTTCATTGTATAACACATAACTGTTTTAAATTTAGGTTTCTTTTAAATATTACAATACTTGCTAATCAATGATATGCAAGAAAAAATGGAAATAAAATATAGAATAATGGACAAAGTTTCAGAACAGTTTTATTTTTCGTAATTATAAAATCAGCTTTATTTGTACAAAAGAATAAAGTGCTACTAAAAACGTAACTTTAATTCATTTCCAATATTCATCTGGAAGAGATTGCAAAAATAAAAGTTTTGACAGCCTCTTTCCTGTTAGCCGGCTTCTAGTTTTTGTAGCCGTTGCTCCGGTTTTTGAAAATAGCCGTTCGCACGGCACTGATGTAGCAACAACCCCTAAATATTTTTCTACTTCTGTATATAAAACAGAGGAAAAACACCTTTTATTTCTTCCCATATTAGAAGTGGGTACTGATTTAGCGAATATACGACAGATGATTGTAAATATTGAGTAATTTCTCCATCAATATTACAATCATTTTTCTTTCTCTTCGTGACTGTTAACTCGTTATGGTAATTCCATAAGCTGAAAGATTCGTTATAGGCATTAGTCGACGATGATTGAAGTGTCGTTTGCGTTTCGTTATCGCTGGTATCTTTTCCTAATAAAGAATTTTTTGACACGTCCCGTTTTAGAATATTTAAGGCCGAAGTACATGCCACAGGATCAGTGAAGTGTAGATTCTTGAATCTCTGGTCTAAAATTGTGGCACAAGCCAATAAATGCATTTTTTCTATTTGCCCAAATCGTTTTTTGAATTCAAATAACAGAGCACGTTCAATGCAATTTTACTAGAAGGTAAAACAGATTTCTTTAACGATGAATCAATAGGTTTGTCCCATCTTGCCAAAAAACCGTTCCCGAACAGTTCTAGAATCGATTTTAAACGATTTGATTGGTCAGATCGTATGGTTTCCATAGCAACTGTGGTTCTAGAATCGTTCTTTTGGCCAGTTGGGACAGACGTAATGAATTGTTGCTATTATTGGTACTTATTTTCTGCACACCGCGCCACCAGTCAAAACCCGTATTGCAACATTTGCAACACGTTTCGATTGATATATTCTTCCGATATATTTAAAATATATCGATAGTTTTAGCAATATATCGAAATAAAAAATCGATATAAATAAATCGATATTTTATATCGTCACCATCCCTAGTTTGAACCTTGGTGCAACCACAGAATAACATAGTTGTATTGTTACATTATTTTTCATCCTTCGTCGCAGAACTCGCAAGTTATTACACATTGCCTCCTTATAGGTGTATAATTTGTATAAGCCTATTTTATATATTTTTTTGTTATTTTTCGTGCCTGCTATTCTGTTTGCATCCCAAATAAATAAAAATTAATAAATTCAATTTCAGTGGCAGTGATTTCTCCAACAAGATGGCGCGACACCATACTATGCAGTTCCTGTTCGAGCTTATTTAAACCAATTATTTCCCAATTGATGGATTGTGGGGGAAGAGGGCCAATCGAGTGGCCTGCAAGATCGCCAGATTTGACTCCACTGGATTTCTTCCTTTAGGGATATCTGAAGAGTAAAGTTTACACTACTAGACCAAATACTTTGCATGAACAAAAAATCAGAACCAGAGAAGTTCAGCGAATAATTCTTGATATATTAGGAAATTGTCAGGAAGAATTTAAGAATCGTTTAGGAGCTGCCTAAGGTACACTATTTGAACATTTAGCTTAATTTTAATTTTTTATTTATTCAATTAATCTAAACCCAAAAAATTTGAAAAAATTTACATCTTTAAACCCGTTTCATGGATTTTTCAATAAACCGTTTATTATTAATAAACGCATATTATATAAACGCAATTATCGCATTAAACCATAGCTTAGCTTTATAATCACAGACAAACATTCAGAGATAAAATTTCAATGAAATTGCATAATCTGTAATGCTACTTTATTTATCAATTCCTATGATATCAAAGCAACGTCACGCATCTTCAGCTTGAATTGTAGTTGTATAATTTATAAACGATAATATAATGCAATATATTCATAAATTGTGTGTCCTTCTAAAATTCTAAATCTATGGTACATTGAGGACATTTACTTCTGATTAGTTACAATAATACATTTCTAGATGTATAAAATGTAGGATATATTTTTATCTAATATTTTTTGTGTATTTTAGGTGTGACCAACCCTCAAAGTACCGATTTGTCTTAGTTGTGCAGTAGTTAACTTTGCACTGAAGTTAAAAACACCTTCAAGAAAGTTATATGGATTAACAATATAATGACACCAACTATGGTTTTCCTGTAGTCTAAGTTTGGAAGACAATTCCTCAGTTTAACAGGTAATAATTTAATTTTTTTGTGAAATTTGATCATAAATTAATCAAGATCAAGTTATAATCTTTTTTGTGTTAATGTTAGTGATATGACGAGTCGGACTTTTGGTATTTAGTCGACTCCACTCAGATTTGAAAAGTATTGAGTACTCGACTCGATTCTTAAGAATCGATTCCATTTTTGAGAATCGTGCCCGACTCGATTCTGATCCGTTAAAATTAAACTCAAAAAATAACTTTAAAATAATCTTAAAAATTAAATTTATGTCCAAGAATCGGTACGCTATGAATTCGAGTATAATCAAATATAAATCGAGATCACAATCCAAAAGTTAATTTTTTTAAATAGCAACCCAAAATAAGGAGACTTTGTGATTGTATTATTGCCTAAAACTGTATCTATTTGCCCCTTTTTCCAAATAAAAGAATTAATTTGGTACATTTTCACTAATACCTATTCACCTTTAAAAAAATAGCACGTTTCTCTCCCCTCTATAATACATTTTTTGTCTTGGGTAATCCAAACATAGACAAATCTTTTCTCAATATCTTTATTGTTTATTGAGTCGTATTATAATTAATAACATGAGCTTCCACCCACTTTGAATGTGCGTCAACCAATATAACCCCTTCCCTACCAGAATTAAATTTTATAAAATGTTATTTATCACCCAGCGGTACTTTGAAGTCCCACCAAGTCCCACTTAAATTCTAATAATAACGTTAGCTTTGATTAGCTGAACATATCTATATTTTGCGAGACTTTTAAGTACCGCTGGTAGACAAAGGGATAAAGAACATTTTATTTGGAAATGATCCACAATAATCAATATAAACTCCACTTTTATATTCTCAATTTAGTCTTATTAGGTGTTTTACTGTTATAGTCACAACTATACCTTTTCATTTTACATTCCTAAATGAGTAAAATGCAATTGATCTAATACGGGTTTTTGTAATTTTGCAGGTATAACTATTCTATTATTCCAAACCAAGCAATTACTTTCAATTGAAAATTCATATTTCTTGTCTGCAAAACATATTAACTAACTCTAACATATTCTATTTTATAGCGATAGTTAAATAAAATTATCTAGATTATACATAAATTATTAATTTTAATTGGCAAAGATTGATTAAAAGAAATTAAAACATCTTGTGCTGTTAATGCGTTTTTAATATAATTAAACTCCTTATTGCATTCATCTTTCCAAACCCAATTTACTTCTTTCTTTAGGCATTGATATAAAGGGTGTAAAATTGTAGAAAGGTTTCTAAAAAATTTCCCATAATAATTTATCAATAAATGGGATGAAATTCTCCATATTTCTCTAATATAATAAAATATGATGTAGGTAAAAGTAAAAACTTTTTGAGAAATACTAAAATGTTTAATTCTATTCAAGCAGACATGTTTCGAAACTAATGTTTCATCTTCAGTACATAGAATATTATACAATATAATGGAAAATATTTTGTTAGTAGGTGGGGTTTAGGAATGGATCTAAATTTCTTTAAAATTCAATTTATAGAGTTTTTTGTTTGTAAATTAAGTTGCAAATAATGCAATGTTATCATGAGAAATCGTTTAAGATCACTTTTGAAAGTATGCAACTACGTGATCAAAAGATGACAATTCGTGTAAAAATTTTAAGTTCATAAACCCATAAATGCTTAAGATATAGACCTTCAAAGTTAAAATTTTTTTAAACATTTTAATTTTTTTAGTCAGCGTAATTGGAAGTGGAGATATTTAGTAGTTCAATTAGCTTTTTCTCATTAAAAATTTGTTCTTCAAACAGTTTCCAAACATCGAACATTGAACATTGAACATTCCAACAATGTTCATATCTGAAAATAGAAATTATTCTGTTATGTTCTGCTTCCTCAAATAGAACAAAGTTTCCTTTCTAAACCATTTGTGGTAAACACGCATGAAGTGTAGACTGTTTTAATTCCTTGCAAGCCAAATCTATAACTAACACAACCTAAAAAGCTTGAGTAAGCGTTACATTTTTCATTTTCCAGTCTTTCAAAAATTTTTGGAATGCTAGTCTTATGTAGTATGTCTTGAGTGTTGAAATGATTCCTTGATCTAATGGATGCACCAATGATGTACAATTTGGAGGAAAAACACAATTTTTACGTTAGGATGATTAAACTCTACTGTGGCTACCTGCATTGTCAATGAGCAGTAAAACTTTCCAACTCCAATTTTTTCGCTTCAAAAACTTTTTTACTTCTGGAATACAGCCATTTTTAAAGCAGCCTCCAAAAAAATTTTGAGGCATCCAGTCCTTTTTATTTCCTCGCCGGAAGATTGGTAGATTGGACTTATCTAGAGTTTTCATTGCTCTGGGAATCAAGATACCGTTTATTATTATTAGTTTTACTAGAAAATTTACTACAAAAAGTTTGTATTTAAACTGGCAGCGTGAATTGTTTCAATATGACCATTATCAATAGCAAGTGCAGTTTTTTCTTTTATGTCTCCATAAAATGTTCCAGCTTTAAGGAGATGTAGTTTCTTTTCTGCCTCTAACTGTGTTTTTATATCAGTATTGTCTGCAGCAGGAATTTTTACGTCATATTCTTCGCAAGTTTGACATGTGTCTGTTTTCGGTTTTCCAAAACTAATGTGGAAATTTCCAACAAAATATTTCCGATAGTAAACATTTAACATTTGCATTTATTTTTCTTTTATTGATCAAATTGTTGTGGTTCATATATCTCCAAATACAATTCGAACATTTTCGAAATTTTTGAAAGTGGAGACAGAAAATAGTGGCCCATGCGATAATGGCTTTGGTATTTTGGAAAGCTTCTAAAGTGGGTATCAACAAAATTTGATTGTTGATGTCTAGTGATATTTTATTAGGTCTTGTTGTATGTTTCTCATGTTGATTTAGTGGTGCAGTGTCTAGAACGTGATTGGCAATACGTTCCACACGACTTTTGGTAATGCAATGGATGGACATAAAAGCATGTTTACAAACATTGAAGGTATTGCCACCACGTCTTACCTGTGTGTTTAATGAATAAATCAGTAGATTAAATTTCTACCTAAATGAAATTAAAAACTTACCACGTCTGCGAAATTTGCAGACGTGGTTTTTGCTCTTTGGTTTACTAGTCCCAGATTCCACGGCCGCCTGATTGACTTTTTTGCGTTTTACTGGTACAGTTGTAATGAGCGGTAAACTGGTACAAACTATTAAAAATCTCTTGTGCAGTGTCTACGTCAACCTTTTCGAAACATATGCTTGTGCATGAACAAGCGGCTTTTACAACTTTTACGATTTCATGAATTTAAATATTCTGTCCCCGAAGCACGTTTTACCTTCCGTATGTTTCGAGACCATTGACCTCTATGCACTTTGCGTTTCTGACCGTTCCACAACCCACTGGGCAAACCACATGTCTTGTTCTTACACCGAACGACAAAATATACGGCATACTGCGCAATAACAAGACACTGAACATGTTCAAGACGGAAGTTTGATTCTTGCCCCGAACGATAGACGTGATATTTACTTATTTAGAACCAGACATCTCAATTTTGCCAAAAGGTGGAGATGTCCGGTTCTTGCACTAGGGTGTTCAATTGTTGTAAAGTTGAATCATTCTGTCTTCTTATGTTTTCTTCTACAATTGGTTCAAGTAAATAATTATTAATTGCAATATATTAGCGACTTTTTCATATTAAAAATGAGATTCAAGATTCAATAGCTTCTGAAGATAATTTAATATAGATATTTGTTTTATAACGTTCGTATATTACAAAGTGTTACTTATTCAATTAAACTATGTGTGTTACAAATTCGTGAAAATCTCAGGTGACGCAAACACTTAATAAAATATTAGAGCTTACCTCTTGCTATGTACAGCTTTTTAGCAGAGATGAATTTAGGAGTGTGAGGATTCTAATTACTATTTTCAATCTTGCATTACTACTTATTACCATAACTTTAGTTTTCGACTTGTTTATCTTTATTCCAAAATCCTTTGTACTCACATTCTATTTATTTATATTTAAACATTCATTTACTACTTTTTAGCTTCTAGATATAATAACCACGTAATCCCTGAATCCTCCTTCTAGTCTAATCTATCTTAACCGGAAGCTTTTCCATTTTTTATTCTCTTATTACCATTTGTAACTCTTTCGTGGTTATCTGTTGATCTGTTTCTGTTCTGCCTCTTTGTTGTGGTGAAGTGTTCCTTCCATCTTTCTCTCAGTATTAATCTGTTTTTATCCTTTACAGTTTTAGTCTCAACTATTTGTTTTTCAACTAGGTTTCAATATCCTAAAAAACAACCGCATTTTGTCAAATACTGGTGTAACAAATCTCCGTTGTCACTTCTGTCGAGTTGATTGATAATTCTTTCTCCATAATCGTGTTTTCTTCCATGATCTTCGTCTTCCAACGCACATTCGTTCGGTTTAAATTACCATTAATTAATTAACTAAAATGTTTTAACATAAATGAATAACCGATTATAATTTTCTGCTACTACGAACCATGTGGAAACATTCACAATGATTATTTTACCTAATAATTATGAAATATCGAATATTAATTAATTACATATTTTTCTTTTTGTTTCAGCTTGTGTGCGAATCACATGGGGCTATTACGTTGATAGTAAATATTTTGTCTGATATTCAATGGAACTTCCTTCAGTAGGTCTATCAAATTAATTACGAAAAATGAAAACTGATGCTGAACGTAACTTTCGACTGGGTGGGTTGGGTTGTCATCAAGTTACTATCAGGCCAACATACATTTTTGTATTACTTCCACAATCCACTGCTGAGATATCTCAATGATTTGTTGATATCTCATATTTGTGATGTGTTGTTAGGAACCAGTCTTTTATGGCTGTGCTATGGATAGGTACACAAGCGTTCTACCAAGAATAATTGCCAGAGAATGAATAATTCTTTGTGGAATGCATGTGTATGTGCAATCTGTACATTTTGGGATCTGCTTTTTTTGATAATTTGTTTTATTAAAGTTCCCAAAATGTAACTCTTCCTTATAACTCTGCTTATTTTTCTGTGTACTGGATATTATGTAATTGTTTACATAATTATTTTGAATCATTCAAACTTCTATACAAGCGTTCTACCAAGAATAATTGCCAGATAATTTGAATAATTCTTTGTGGAATGCATGTGTATGTGCAACCTGTACCTACATTTTGGGATCTCCTTTTTGGTAATTTGTTTTACTAAAGTTCCCAAAATGTATCTCTTCCTTATAACTCTGCTTATTTTTCTGTGTACTGGATATTATATAACTGTTTGCATAATTATTTTGAATCATTCGAACTTCTGTATAAGTATCATTTTTAAAATTATAACCCAGAACCCAAATATTAATAATAAAAGTTTCACTCAATGTTTTAAATATGAAGAACATCATGTTGCTATATTCATCATAGTTGAGTGATGATGCTCAATGTCCATAATGATGAAGATGAGATCTTTTCGAGATATATTTCAGAATATCACCTATATTAATTAAAGTTATGAGAAATATCCATGTTGCAAGTAAAAATGAAATTTGAATATGAAAACAAAACGCAATATATGAACTTCGCACTTGCAAAAATTATTTAATTTAAATCGGGACCGGTTTCGAAGTTTATAACTTCATCTTCAGCCGAAAACTATACAAAAATGAAAACTATTATAAGTAATCTACTTTATAAAATACAGAAAATACAAAAATATATAAAAAACAAAAAATACTCACTGTCAGAAAGTGAAGCCAACAGGTATAAGGTAAGCTGGGGCAACTGGGTCATGATTTTACAACATGCCAATGTCGTTCATAAATTTGCACTCGTTTGATTCGAAGAAGAATTGTTAAAATGAACTTCTGAATACGTACGGATCTTAAAGAAGTATTTCTTTAAGATATCCGCATGTTTAACATTGATAATTCAAGATGCCAACGAGAAAAATAATTATTTTATGTTTTTGGCGCTCCTGTGCCCAGTTACCCCCATAGTGTGGGACGACTGGACCCCACCTGTCTATTCCATAAGCAAGATAATACAATTCAATCTGAGGTAGCTGGGCCTGTTTTAGGACGTGTCTATTTTCGGTATCATATCAAAAATTTCAGATTTTGTTTCATGTTAGGTTATTTAGGGGTGTTGCAAATAGATAAACATCATTTGTTAACTAAGAAATGTAACAAAAAGTGTCATAATAATGCTTTATTAACTCATAAACTTCAAAACAAAAACTTAAGATACATAAATTACTTTGAAACTAAACATAAGTATTGCTTTTTCTGAGTTTTTAACAGAACGATTGGCTTCCCCTTAAAACAAATCAATAAGTTGTGAATTCAGCTTTGTTGAATTTTTTTCCGCGGATTCTACCGTTGCCATTTGCACAATGCCTTGTCCCATGCCGTTTTCAAGCCTTTAAAAATGGCAACATCGAGGGGTTGTAGAACATGTGTTGTGTGTGGTGGCAACTTCATGATAATGATGTCATTTGCCCGTGCTAGTCGGATCAACTTTACGGAAATGTGGGTCACGTGCCCATCATAAATTAAAATTACAGGTCTTTCTCTACCAATATTTCTAAGGAAAACATCTCTAAACCAGTTGTAGAATAAGGTTGTCTCCATCCACCCACGCTCAGTTACTGAAACAGCAGTTTGTGTGGCCAATTCTTCGTTTATCCAATTTTCCATGACAAACTTCCCCTTAAAAACGCAAAGCAATGGAAGGGTTCTTCCATCAGCGGAACAACAAAGCAACACAGAAGTATTTTCGCGCCCAGAAGAACTAGTTTTGCGCTAACATCGTGCACCAATGGCCCCAACAATTTTGCTTTTAAAAGGGTCATGGCAAAATGACGTTTCATCACAATTGAATATCTGTCCTGGCTTTCCTTCAAGTTTTAAGTCTTTCATGACGTGTTCCAACTTGTCAAAAAAGTCGTAGATGACCCAAGGATTAACTTGGTCACACCGAACGTATTGGATACTTTGGGGTTTTTTGATAGACAAATGTTGCCTTTTCTTGAAAGAGATGAACCAGTCGGTTCCAGGTCGTTGGTCTTTGAATCTTGTTGGCAAATTATTCTGTCTAATGTACATTTGTACTAAATCCCGTACATTTTCTCGCGACAGACCAAATCCATGCTTTTCCATTACCTTGATGCAATTGGCAATTTCTTAAAAGTGTAAGTAATTACTTCCAAAATTCGGGGTAACTGGAACCCATTGCCACAAAACATACGGGGTTACTGGGCCACTCACGCTTGAATTATAATACGGAAAAAAAATTGTCTGAAACACATACTAATCACTCGTTTTAAACGTATTTCATTATTACATCTATAAGTTAATTTATCAATACTTACACTGTTCAAATCAGGACCACACAAATGCACTACTGCAGCACGTTGTCAGACCAAAATATATGCATAAAATTCAGAACGCACTCACGTGCATGCCGCATGGAAAAACGAGGTTATATTCGTTGTACCGGCAAGTCGACAGGTTGACACAACGTTGCCAACTGTTTGAATATTCCGTGGCAGCAGGTTAGACAATGACAGACTCATGGCCCACCTACCCCCTGGGCCCAGTTGCCCCAGCTTACTTATTTGAAAATTTGAAATGTTGAGAAGTTTGAAATGGTGAAAATTTTTGTGTCGTTAAATTTATATAAAAAACCAAAATGGAGCAGATATAAAACATGATGCGTATAATAAAATTACAATGAAATCTAAAAAATAATAAAATAAATAAGATTACAATTAAAGCAACTATCATAAAGAACAACTTACGAAACAAAAATGATGGTTAAATATAAAAATTTTTCTTGAAAAACAAAACATGTATTAATTAAATACTATTATTTCACAGTCAGGTTCTTTGTTGAAAACTAAGAGTACTTTTGTATACAGTGGTTCCAAGACAAACTGGGACATTGGAGCTGAAAATGGTCAAATTAAAACAGTTCAAAAAAAGAGGAAATTGAACCACTAATAACATTCAAGCTTGTACTAGTGTGCCATATATGACACGTTAGTGTAACTTTAAATAAGATAATTATAGAATAAAAAATGTAATTATGAACAAAAAACAAGTTATTTAGAAGAAGAAATTTCGCGTTCGATGTTGGCCTGCAGTTCTTCTGACTGCTGGCATGTTGGCATAGACCAGCGATTTAATGTAACCTCACGAAGGGTGCTTTAAGGGTGCAAAATCGATCCACTAAGATCAACGCACATTGTTGAGCTATAGCTTGAAATTGAACTAATCCTAATCTACTTTTTAAGTAATTAGGGTTCCAAGATGATTTTTCTATAGCAGTCGCAAATGATAACAAAAGTGTTATATTGCTCACGGCAGCCTGTTCGATCATCCAATCGAACGCCTTCGAATATCCTTCTCATCTACCCTTGAGTAAATTACTTAAAATCCTCTAAATATATCTTGGGAGTTAATTCTGGACCTATTGTATAGTGTAATATAGCGCTGTAATACATCGTAACTCACGTATTTATCCAAATTGATATTAGAAATCATTTTGCTTACTTGGTTTTTTCTTTTTTGGATTTTACCATAAATGTTACTAATTACTAAATAATTACTAAATACCATAAATGCATTCCAACTACTAAATACCATATTCTCACTCACTGGGACCGCGAGCTTCTCTTGCCAGGAGATTTCCTTTTTCGCTTCTGACTCATTGTAATTCTTGACGACGTTCGGGTGTGTCATCTGCATGATCTTCCGGAATGCTCACCTCATAAACGATATACCTATTTCTATATACTCTGAGCCTGGATTCATTAGAGCAAATAACTTGGTGGTTTCTGTGCATTCCTCAGTTGCTTCTTGATTAATCTGCATTATACAATTACCTATGGACTCCAATTCCACGATGCATAGATGACAGTTTGTGCATGGATCACCTTGATACATCCTGTTGATAGAACCAGCTGCATTTCTTATAGAAACAAATCTGCCAACATAAGCCAAATCTGCATATTTTGATACAGACACCTGTGGGTCTTTAATAGTACAATATCGATCCACCAAGAGCCATGCACATTGTTCCGCAAGACTGAGAAATTGTGTGTTCCTTAAGCGTTGTCTGATATATGGTAGGGGGTTCCATGCTGATCTCTCAATCGCTGACCCAAAAGCAAGCAGCATAATGATGTTACTTCCAGCAGCTTGTTCTATCATCTAGTCAAAGGCATCCAAATTTGCCTCATCTGCCCAAGTATATATGTATAATTGATAGTACCCGGAAGATATCTTCTGGGGATCACTCCTTTCTGTTGTACAAATGCTCAAACATTTTAATGATTTCTGGATTCACATCTTTCCAGATCTGAATTGGGTAATAATTGAGTTATTTGATTTCGTCGCTTATTCACCCAACCTTCGGTCATGTTTACCCCTTTCATTAACATTATGAGAGAGCTCATCATTGATTCTACTGAAATCTCAGTAGCCTTCTTGTCATTGGTGTAGGACAACATCCCTATAGTTCCTAGTAGCTGATCTTTATTTCCTCGGGCCCATTCCACAACAAAATTTGCTGATGCTGTAATCTGGTCTACAGGGATCACGACAAAATCTCCAAGGAGAAGGTTATTCAATATCTATTTACATAATATCCTTATTAATTTAATTGTTATTAAAACAATTCACAATCGATTTTTCGTAATCCCTATTTTTCGGGTCGTTACATAGCTTCCCCTTTTAAGGAAGAAGAACCCACTCTGATCGGGTGGTTCTTCCTTCTTGCTACCAAACTAAACGTTAACGAGAGAAACATAAAAAGGGATATAAATAAATTTGAACTTGATATTTAGATTCTGCTGATTTACAAATATGCTGAAGCAAGAAATGTTCACATTTTGTATTCTTTACAATCAGAACTTGCTATAATTAAAAGATTTGTTTGCTATTGACTTACACCTAATTGAAAAAAAAGAAGAAGAAGGATTAATTGTAGATATTGCAATTATTATTCATTCAAAAATAAGTCATTAAATATATTGTTAGTTAGAACAAAAGTAATATATATTTGTTAGTAAACATAAAAATTTTTTGAGATTAAATAATCCTTTACCTCTTGAGGTAGTGTTTCCTCATCATCTGTCCTCATCTCAAGAGATCTTGCAAGCATTGATTGGGTACTGTGTTTTAACATAGTTGCATTAGGGATATTAACTTTATAATTTTTCTATGATTCACCCCCTGCGATTTGTTTGTACAAAATGGCTGCTTGAGCAATGCCAGGAAATTTATTAACATTCCAATTAGAAGGAATTATCCCTTCATGATAAACAAATCTACTTGTATCCAAATTGTTATCTTTCCAAATCTGGAAAGAACGTCTGGCCCCGGATCGACCAAGCAGTGACAGGACCTTGACGTGATAGACCTTGAAGTCACCGTCATCGGCACATATTACGATGATTCTATACATTTCGTAGCTCATAATTAATACTCCCCCGTTTAACTTCCATTTATTCAAAACTTTTCTCCTCTTCTCTAATGTTCGAAATAATTTCGCTGCGTTTGAAATGAGAATTCTTGCAGCGCCACCTATGGAACACCACTTAAGGTATTCCGTCTTCCAAGCTAGCAGAATACGAGAGTGCGATCTTCTTAAGTAAATATCGGAGAAAGCAATTGTTTGCAGTTTCCTTCCATTTGGTCCAACAGAATGGGCTAAGATGCAACCTAACCCATTCCTAATATTCTCGCAGAGAACGTTTTACGTCCATTACCTGTCTCCTGAGCAGCTAAGCGACAATGTTTGGGGGAACATCAAATAAAGCGTGGAATTGTTTCACACTCGGCATTATCTCGGAAGAACCTTGAAAATTAACGAAATAATTGGGTAATGGAATCATTAATAGAATATAAATATTATCAACTTTTTTGTAACTTCTTTAGTGAAATAGCTGCGATGGTATTTTGTGCAAAATAATAACCAACTACTTGTTTATAGTTTTTCTGTATTCCTCTGATCATAGAAACCAGGGCATGGTTTGCCATTTTATTACTACTGTCAAGTGTACCCAAATCTTCGAATCCTGAGATCTTTTCCTCATGAGCTTTATAGTGTAAACCACTCTTCAACTGTACTTCATCGAAGATTAAGGTGACACTTTAAATATTTTAAAACGTTATCATTTAAACCGGTTTTAAATGGAATATGGGACAACATGGGTTTCAAAGTTCTTATTGTAGGTGAATCAAAATGAACTTGTAAATAACCATACAATTATATTGGTAGTATTCAAATGTATATTTGTTAAATTATTACTATACTTTAAAATGTTTAAAATATTTTATTCCCATGGTTTAATAACTTTATAACATCTTTTACTCCTTTGAAAATTAAGCTCATACCTCCTATCTCAGTAATTTCTGCATCCATAATCATCTCCGCGGTACGTTTAAAAATACGGACAAACCATCCTCCAAATCAACAACAACTGATCGCCATGTAGCTGATGTATTTACTTCGCAGACTTAATCATATATAATTTATTCACCTCTAATTCTGATATGTTCTTCTTTGGGGAAAATCGATACTGCCCTAACTGACTTAAATGTGATATACTAGCTTGAGTTGGTTTATAACGTAAGCGAGCGATGTGATTGTGTTAGCGAACTTCAATTATTAATTACGGTTTGAAAACAATCAGGATGGCGATTACTGTCCATTCCAAAATTAGATATAGCATCAGTGATCACAGCGTGTGCAGCTGCTGATAAAATTGTGCCTAACTGATGTACCTCCACTACACTGCAGTTAGAATCAGCGAATAAGGGAGATTGGCCAAGTGCAGCCTTAACAGTATTCATAACATCATCTTTGGCTTTATTAAGCCACGAATCATTAAGCAAGCTACCGTAAGATCCTTTATTACAAAAGTTAGTAAACCATACGACGTAAGATACCCTGTAATTATGTGTCCGTGCCTTAAACTAACTTAAAAGTGCATTTCTTTATCCTTGACCTCCCGGATAATTTTTAAATGTCTCCGGGGATCAGCCCACAATAGAGGACATCAACGCATCAGGCGATGGATGATGTCCTCTAAATCCTCAGCCGTCGTTATGAATACGCAGGGCTGTAATTTGAAAGGATACTGTATTATTACAATTAGGAAAGAATAATAATAAATAAAATATTACTTACATTATTAGATGCCCACGAACAAATTGTTGCTATTATTTCAATAACGTCGAGCGGTATTGGCAATAGCGATGCCATTTTTAAAAAAAAAGTGCATTTTTATCCTCTTTATATAGTATGGGATACCGTTTATGTAAACAGTTTTTTTAATTAATATCGATTGTAAGAAGAGTGGGAGTTTTCCGTATATAATAGAAACGGAAGATATTAAACAATAAAATAATAGAAAAATATATATTTAATAAATTAAAATTACAATAAATTTACGTCTATTTATTGAGGGGTAACTAAAAAAATAATTTAATTGTGATATGTGTAATATTCAGACCTATAAATAACTTAGAGGCGGCACTGAAATAATTTTCATCAGCGACCTCCCTAATAATTTTAAGATGGCCGCCTGGTATCGGCCCTAAATAGAGGATATCGCCCCCCTCATGAAGAATGATCTCCTCTAACTCTTCACTTGTAACTATGAATACTGAGGGCTGTAAATTGAAAGGATACTACTTATGTATTATTATAATTCGGGAAGAATAATGATCAATAAAATATCACTTACATTATCAGAAGCCAAAAAGCATATGGCCATTATAAGGTCTTTAACAAATTGTGGAGTAGATGACATGATTGGTAGTATGATATACAACTGCATTTTTTCCTCTTTATATACTATGGGATACTGTTTATGTAAGCATGCTTTTAATTTTTATTGATTGCAAGACGTGTAGAAGTTTTCCTTATGGTAATATATGGGATACGATTTATTTACAACAACATAAACACAACCATTTTATTTACAATAAAATATATTTATTTATAACTAACACAGTACAACACATGATTTCGGGACTCAATTCTGATAATTGTCTATGAAAGTAGCCCCAAAAAGAAGAACTTCTGCATCATTCGTATGGTCATGGTACATCAAATAATAATTTAAAAATTAATTTGAAGTTAGTAAGTATCGTATAGGGGAATTTGTCACGTTTTAGGCTCTTTTGTTTGTCATAACTGGAGAACCACTAGTCCGAATAAGCTGCAACGTTTCGCTACATAAGCAACAGTTTCGCAGTTATAAATAAATGTATGAAGAAAAAAACAATTTTTTATATTTAATTCATAAAAAATCCAAAACGGTAAAAAGGAACAGTTTCGCAGTTATAAATAAATGTATTAAGATTTTTATATGTTATCTATGCATGGAAACAAAATTTAGAACATTTTCAATTAGTGTCACTATCCATCCTCGTTGAAGTTGACGCTTGTGGTTCTGATGACCTTATTTTCTTAGTAGGTTGTTCATATTCATGTTCTGAGTCTGCATCATCATCTGAGTTACACATAATATTCAAGGGCATGTTTTGTTCAGTGTGTCCACAAATTTCAGTGTCATCTTCATCTTCGGTGCGTTCATCTTCAAACTGCACAATTTTAGAACTCCACCAACAAACCTCCGCAAGCAATGCATCCAATTTTTTGCCTTTGAATCACTTTTCCATTGGCATGGTCACCTGGTGGAACCTCTCTCCTTGTTCGTCCGATTCCTGAGGTAATTGTGCCAAAAAGGTATCAAGGTGGAAATGCAGGAAATGTAATTCTGACGTCATGGATGCATTGATTTTTTCAAAATAATACAGCAAGTTGTCCACTCGTGTCTGTATGTCATCTTGCTGTACACGGTTCTTTCCTAAAACGCCTTCGATGACTTGTTTCCTTGCGTCCCATGCACATAGGTGGTTATAATGGTTCGAAAGCATATTTGTGAAAGATTCACTTTTCATTAATTTTCGTATATCCGGTCCATTGAGAATACCTGTTTGAAATATAAAAAAAAACATTTATCAAACAATTATTGGTAATGCGAATATATTGTAGTGAACAAATTTAGATATGACAATATTAAAATACTGACAACGATATGTACCTTTTCTAATTTTAGCTTCACTCAGTTTTTTAAAGATGGACTTCAAACAGTCATAGGCGTCATCAATATCTTTGACTACCACTTCGACGAATTTCCCAGCTATTCCTAATTTCATGTGGAGCGAGGGCAACAATATATCATGTAGATCCTTTATCAAAGGTTTATTCCGTAATTTTAATTGTTTCTCGAGCTCGGGAGTTTTTGCTTTCCAATCTTTACATTGATATTGATTTCCTTTGTATCGTGAATCCCAATTACAAAGGAAGCAGAAGTATTTTGGAAAACCGCCTTTTAATACAATGCCTTGTATTATATGTTGACAACCTTTAGATCGCAACAAATCTTCCATTTGTGTACATTGTAGTTGATTTTCTCCAAAATTTCGCCCAATGTTTCATACGTTTCCTTCATAGTTGTGTCAATAAAATATCACTTACATTATCGGCGGCCAATAAACATATGGACATTATTAACTTCATAACAAATTGTGGTGTAGATTCTGACATGATCTATTGATGCTATTGGTAATATGATATAAAACTGCCTTTTTCCCCCTCTTTATATACTATGGGATACTGTTTATGTAAACATGTTTTTAATTTTTATTGATTGCAAGACGTGTAGAAGTTTTCCTTACGGTAATATATGGGATACGATTTATTTACAACAGCATAAACACAACAATTTTATTTACAAAATGAACCTTTATTTACAACAACATAAACACAACCATTTTATTTACAAAATAACAACGTAAAATTTAAACAATATTATCTCTAGAAATCCAACTGTTATGCGATGAATCGAATCCTAACCACTTAACGTACACTTTATTCTTTTTCCTCTTCAACACTTTTTCAACAAGATATACATCAGGTTGTTTGGATTTTTGTAGTTCAAATTCATAAAAAGCTCCTTTAATAGGCTGACCATTCATATCCTCTAATAAATAAGAAATTGGATTCGTAATTTGTCTTTTAACTATTTTAAATAACTCGGTGGTTCAGTTGGGTAGATATCCTTTATCGAAAACGTGTTTATGCTTGCTAATGCGAACTACATCCCTAACTTTAAAGTTTCCTTTAGCTGCAATTTTAATATGATTGTACACCGTATTGAGAAGTTTACTTTCTACAGATTTCGAATTTATTTGAGATGGTCGAATGCTTTGAATTGTTATATGGAGTTGTAAAAGTATCCAATAAGTGTAACCATTTATGATTTCCGTAAAGACTAAACATTTTATACAAATTTTGTTTTATGGTTCTATTACGCGTTCAGCTATTGAAGCCCTCATTACACTATAGGTTGAATAATGATTAATTTTAAATTCCATCATCAACTTTTTAAAGTGAGTATTGTAAAATTCTTTTCCTTGATCTGTTTGTAGATTTTTAGGTGGATGACGTTCAGAGAGAATTGAACGTAACGCGTGTATTACATCCGTTGAAAATTTATGTTTTAACGGACGCATCCAGAGAGATTTTGTTAGTTTATTATAGTTTCGCTTTCGATACTTGTATTCTTATGCTTATGGATTAGGTCCAATAATATTGGATTTTTCTCCAATACATCTAGTCGGCAATTTATTAAGCTCATTTCCTGAAAGGTGATTTTCACCCGTAATCTGGGTGCTATATCTAGAAGAGCTAGTCTGAGGAGCCTGTGAAAAATTTCCTTGCTTCGAAGTAGAATTATTTCCATAATTGCTTTGGAAACCACAATTAAAAGAGCTTCTATTGTGCTCACCTTGACTTTGAAAATCTTGCGCTGACTATTATTACGAAAGTTATTGGACTCATTTGTAAAACTGTTCCGGCGTTCTTTTTCACGAAATCTGCAATTCTTGGCAATGTGATTGTGTAATCCGCATGTGTAACATGACGTACGGTTTTGCAATGAAAACCATTTACAAATGAATTTTTCCCAAACATAAAACCGCTTAATTCTTGTTGTTTTGCGAGTGCTTTGGTTATTTGTAGCGTTAAATTTGGATTTCTCTTGAATAAGGGTTCTAGAGTTTTTATCAACTATTTTCTAAGTCCTAATCTAAACTGATTTGATTTAACACAAGGTCTTTACAATTTTGTTTTCAAACCTGAATAGTGTCTAAGTCCAACTGAAGGTTTCCAATTTTTTTCTCTTTAGCAACAATTTCACCCTCTTCTACATCTTCGTTACTTTGTTGTTGTAGTTGTTGTTGACTTTCAATTTGGGGAAATTGGTCATCCCCATCGACACTTAAATCAAATACATACTTATACATCACGGATGCCAACATCTGTACCTCCGTTTCCTTTTCAACCTCCAGCCTCGTATATTGGACTGGAAGGTTTCCAAACTCTCTCTTCGGTGTATCATTTTTTGGGGTATACAATAGTGTAATTATCACACAATTCCCCTTCGTTGTTACACTTTTTAAACCATACCTAATTCAGAATTATTAATAAAGGAAAAAAAAAGAAAAAAGAAACTTACCGGGAGAACAGGTGTTTACACACCACATATAATGTTTTTATTGGTACATTCACCATTTTTGTGCCATGGTGGTAATTAGTAAAGTGCATGATGATGTGGACATTTTTTTTTTCTTTTGTTGCAAGTTGAACTGTTGAAGCTGAGTGTAGGTATGCTAAATCGAATCGATTGAGAGACATTTATATGTTGAATAATTTACTAATTAAGCATAAATGTGGATTATCTTATTAAAAATCATATACAGGAATACATAATGCATATAAATTTAAATAAAATAGCGTGGAACTACTTTCTTCAAAATTTTTAATTTTGTTTTTAATATACATCAAGAATAATAATAATTATTATTATAATAAAAATTGATAACAAAAATTAAACTGATTTGAACATTTGTCGAACATTTTCAAAATTTTGAAATTCTGTAAGTAAATTTTACAAATCAGTTTCCTTTCCGTAATCTAACCTCTAATACCTTTGCCTCTGCTACAATCACCAATCCGGTAACTGCCTGAACGGCATTCCGGACTCCAGAAGGGCCAGGAACATCGGAATCGTTAGTATTAAGATTTTCTATTCTCTCTTCTCTTCTGGTTTTTTCCAAAAGGCAATCTGGTATTAATGGAACATCTTCATCTTCATCGCTATCTTCACCAAACGTCGTTTCATTAATCTCGTCTGATGAAGCACCGCTATCTCTATCACTCATATTAACTGTTTCCTCGTACATGGCGTTATCAACAAGATGTTGCTTTTTCTGTATTTGTCTTCGGTTTTTTTAACGTGTCTGACACAATTTCGCGACACAAATTGAGAACGTCATTAATTTTGAAGGTATTGTTGTTCCTTGCCACTTTGTTTTTGACGTAGGCCCATATCAATTCAATTGCGTTGAATTCACAGTGTGCAACTGGTAACCAAAGTAATTTTACCTCATCGCCCCTAATTTCTTGTACCAAAGTATCTAACAGATAACGTCTCTGATAATGATAAGGACGTGACAGTTGTAAAAGCTGTGGTCTGGTCATCGATGAAAATGAAGTATAAGCTTCCGGTACCGACACATTTCTTTCCTGAAGCCACCTGATGATATCCCCTTTTTTCCATGCTGTTGTTGGATTTCTGAAATTAGGATCCAACATAGTATGATATGGGGCTTGGTCTATCATGATAACCGACCTTGCAGGAATTATCGACAACACATGCCTGAACCACTCTTCGTAATGTTGCCGATTCATTTCATTTTGATAATCGGCTTTAGCCTTTTTTTTCTCACCAATGAAACATTTCTCTGCACCCGGTAGAAATCCATCTTCACTGCCAATGTGTAAAATAATAATTCTTTGGTCGGCACCTGATGGCTTTTTTTATCCCCCCTCTATAACCATTAACCTCTTGAACATCTCCACGATAATCTTCAAAACTCTCTATATTTTCAGGAGTTACTCTTTCCTGCCATCCAAAACTTCTTGCGTGGTTTGCCCCACACCAAGTTTCGTCCGTATAAAAAATTCTCCATCCTGTATTACGGTAAGTTAACAAAGAGTTTAAAAAATCTGCTCTGTGTGCAGCAATATTTGGATGTTCCATTAATATTGGTTTATTGTTCAATTTTTTATAAAAAAAATTTAGTTTTTTTCAACAACCATATAATGTTCTTAAAGAAAACGGTGGAAGATTTGGTACTTTGTTTCGAATGTCCACGTACATTTGTCGGGCTGTTGAAAATTTCTTAGCGAGGTAATAATCGAATACCAGCCTTCTAATAACTCCTTGCAATTCCTCGTTGCATTCTATTTTCTTTCTACTCGACTTTGCAACGGGATTTTCTACAGTGCCTTTACTCACGCATTCGTAACACATTCTTTTCACTGTTCTCACACTAATACCAACGGCTTTTGCTGTCCTTTGAACTGCTTTCTTAGCGTCCATTGAAAGCCCTCCAAGATTCTTTTCTTCGTCAAAAAATTTCCTAACGTTGATAATCATTTGTTTTTCTTTTAATGTCAATGCTTTTGGCATTTTAAAAATTTACTTGCAGTATTGCAAAACTTTGAAAATGTTCGACTGCCTGTCTACTACTGATGCTTGCACTTTTCACAACTCGTATTTATATGCAGACATTTTGTAAAAATAAGTTCGTGATGAATCAGAGCGCAATCAGAGTTTATTATATTTGGTAGGATATTTGGGATCAACATCCAATCCTAATAGAGAGATATTCTCCTGTTACTATATCATTAGGATTGTAAGACCGTACCTTATCAAACATCTTGTTGACTGATGTAGACACTTCTCCTTCCGGTGGACTGCATCTCTGTAATCTAGTTTTCTTTCTTTGTGTTCGGAGTTTACCAATTTGAGGTTTCTCATGGGATGGGGTTTTTGGATATTTTTCACAGGAAATGTGTATTGACCCCATTTGGGTTTCCAGGTAGTTGAGAATATTTAAACACATTTTAATTATAAATATACGAATTATTTTAATGATATTAGTAACGAATGCTCTTCGCCTAGAATTATTGGCTAACTTATGTATTTCATTTGTGCCAAAAATATGTGCATCACAAATGCTATCACTGTTATCCTTTGTTTTTGATGCTGAAAAATTTTATTTCCAATTTGGTTTGTTCCAATTTACCCATTTGGTGATGGCACGCGCAAATTTAAAATTCATGTGACGTCATGTGGAGGTTTGTGGTGAAAATTTAAAAATACAATTATATTGGTAGTATTAAAATGTTTATTTTTTAGTATATTAAATAAACTTTATTAACATTTTGGTGATTGTATTAAAATGCATAATTTTTATTAAATTAAATAAATTTTGTTAACATTTCGGTTTTTTAACTTTCTAACGTTTTACAATGTCGATGAGATGCGTTGGATCCCTTTTTCCAACCAATGGAAGGGAGAATAAAAAAATACAATACTATAGTTTAAATGTTTAATAACTTTATATCGTTTTTACAAAGTCGATGAGAACATTTTGATTATTTAAACACATGGAAAAAGTTATAACAGCATAAAACTATTACTAAAAATGAGTTCATCGATTTAGTGGAAAATGAAGTATGATGAAAATGTGGTGCGCGTTCTGTTTGAAACGTTCACATTTTAAATTTATTTTAATAGAAAATTGCTCTGAAAAGGTTCATGAAATTTTAATTTGAAATTAGCTTATAGGAAAAACAATTATATTTAACAATAAAATATATTTAACAATAAAATATATTTAACAATAAAATATATTTAACAATAAAATATATTTAACAATAAAATAATTTTAACAATAAAATAATATTATAAAATTAAAACAAAACTAACTAATTGGTATACATATATTCATTCCCAATTCATTATCTACATTATAGTCATGAACGCATCCAGGGGGTGTGCATCTTCTTCCTCCAATGAGTGGATGACTGAAAAAGTGAAAACGCCCACTTTTTCAAAAGTAAATAAAAAAAAAACAATAACTTACAGCAACATCATCGTAGTCCTCATCTCTAGCTATTCTTACAAGGACTTGTTCGTTATCTCATCACATATCTTCAGATTCTATTAAATCAATGAATTCAAATTTCGTAATCGTTTTATGCTGCATTCTTACAACTTTTTCCATGTTTTGAAATTCTTTATTTTGGAAAAAGCCCTTTCCCATGAAATAAGCTCCTTGTAATCTTCGAAACACTCTCCATATACACGTCCATGTTCAGTTTCAATATATGTAATCCATATACACACTTCTCCACTTTCATCAATCCCCCCATGTACTGAGTGGCCCAAAATTCGCGCAACCAATTGAAAAAAAATGACATTGCGTAGCAAAAATACAAAATTTATTCGGAAAAAAACAAAATACACAAAATTAGTTTGAAGCAAGGCAAAAACCGACTCTCTGGCATCATAACAAATGTTCGAAATGACCTCCTTCTTGTTCGATGCACTTCAGACATCGCTTTTTAACAGCTTTACAGATGCGCTCAAGTAAAGGTTTATCTGCATTCAGCGTATCGACTTTGTTGGTTATGATGTTTTTCATGGTCTCCACATCTGGTAAATCATTTTTGTACACCCTATCCTTTAAAATTCCCCACACGGCAAAATCCAAGGGAGTCAGGTCAGGAGATCTTGCAGGCCACTCTACTCGACCTCGTCTACCGATCCAATCCGGGAAATTTTGATTTAGGAATTCGCGAACAATGATAGCGTAATGGGGCGGCGCACCATCTTGTTGAAGAGTTAAAACACGACCAGAAAAATCCGGGTTATTATTCATTTCATCGCGCAGTTCCATCAACAAATCAAGGTATGCAATACCTGTTACTGTTGCGTCGAAAAAGTAGGGGCCGACAATGCCGAAGGAGCAAACACCAAGCCATACTGTTACACCAGGAACGTTTAATTCTTCTTGCACCGTGATATGCGGATTTTCTGTAGACCAGTACACGCAATTGTGTCTGTTGATTCGGCCATTTAATTTAAACTGTGCTTCATCTGACCACAAAATGGTTTTAAAGAACTCTTCGAACGCTTCACATCGAATTACGTACCACTCAGCGAACTGAAGTCTGCGGTCCGGATCGTCTTCTGTTAATGCTTGTAAAAGACGTGGTCTGTAAACATGCATACCTAATTCCTTCATTATTCGCTGCAAGCTGGAACGAGAAATTTCCAATTCATGGCAAGCCTTACGGACTGATCGCGCCGGTGTTTCAACGAAACTCTCAGCGACCATCTGTACGTTTTGTGCAGTTCGCACGCTGCGTGGCCGCCCCGAACGCTTCGTGTCATTAACAGTACCATTTTGTTCGAACCTTTTTATCAAGCGATACACAGTTTCACGCCTCGGAACTTGACTGTTAGGAAACTTTTCGGCAAAATCGGAGAAAATGTTTCGATAATCGGCATGATAACGGTAGTACGAGCTCACTAAAAACACGCGTTCCCGGCTGCCATAGCTACACACGGACAACTGGTTGA